TAACCCCCCCCCCCCCAAAAAAAAAAAAAAAAAACAAAAACAAAAACAAACAAAAAAAAAAAAACAAGAGAACACTCAATACGTTTTCAAGGGTGGTTTTTCTAATTATTGTGTGTAAGACAACACAGAAATCTAATAATGTACTTGTAATAAACACCATTTGATCAAAAATATATTTATCACATTCTGAGTGACTCAATATCGTGTACAGAAGTTTCACTGCACAAATGTAAACATGTCCACTGTGGTACTACAGTAGGCTAGATATAAATGATATATCAAATGAAAGGCGTGAACGGCGTACGCAACAATTGTACCTCTAAAAGAATCTAATTGTAAGAAAAAAGTAGAAAATGTAAAAACTTACCCGGCTTTACAAGAACAAAATGAATCGGACAACATTTTATCGCCGATTTCGATTTGGAGTTAGTGCGGTTCTTCAGTTTTCCTCATCGAGCGCCAACATTGTGCGTCACCATAAATTGTTCCGTTCCCCTCAGAAATCTTCACATTGTGAATATAACCTTGCGTAAAATAGTTCAGTCCTTTTTGAAGAGCCTTTTTTGACACAGATTCACTATTCGGAAGGAAATTAACTGCGATATTTTCTGGTATGTTCTCTAAGGAATCTGACACGATGTTTGTCTGCTCGGTGGCCATTTTGACTATTGCTTGTTACACCTAGCAACAGTATCTAAGGGGGCGGAGCTTATCCGCTCATCTCGGAACGGTGAATTGTTATTGCGGAAGGAAATCTAGGCACTGGAGACATATTTGTGAGGTTTTATGGATTTGATGTCCTAATTGGAGAAGGTTAGCTAATGTTTCTTAAGGACTTTCGTACTTTTTTTGTCAACCATTAACCTGCTTAAACGTGAGATCGGCTTTGGATTTTTTTTTATTCCAGCCAATATACTTTTACCAACAGCCTTTTTCCCACTCTCGTCGCTTAAATACTCAATGTCAGCCGTATAAACTCACTGTAGTACACGTATTGTCGTCAACATGCTACCAGTAGGAGGTAGTTTTTAGAAAGTTCCTTGTAGCGTGATATTATATTCTAGGATCTGGCAGAACAGTCCAGTAAAAGAGTCCTCAGATAAATTGAACAAAAAAGTGAGACAGAAATCACACAAATGACCAAACTTTATTTTGGAAAACAATTATTACACATTTGTAAATTCCATAAACATCATCTAAAGTTACTTTGCCGTCGACTGTAAATGTAGTAAATGGCAAACCTCCAGTTATTTTGATAAGTGGCACAACTGGTTTGTTCAGACCACAACTGATTTAATATATATATATATCAAAGAATGAGTAATAAAAACGACAATGAATATAATTATTTTGATCGGAGCTCCTCTCTCAATGAAATAAAATATTCATCTTGACCATCAGGTCTATTGCACATGTTACAGACAAACTGGGAGGAAAATAGATAAATAAATAAATAATAGAAAGTGTTTGACCACAAGAAAAAGTTTTTACAAATACAACTCTAGCCACACAAGAGGAGCTCTATTGTGTGCACATACCCATCTGAATTTGAACTTCCAAGATCGAGGTATGCTGAGTACATTGCTAATTCTATGATTTTCTGTCTTTCTTACACAGTACACTTGAAATAATATGGGAACCGAGAAACTATATAGTACAGGTGCTGAGCTTTCCTGTAATTAAATGCAATGACTTCAGTATGCATGAGAGAGAGAGAGAGAGAGAGAGTAAGTCACTTAACGGAATAAGTCCAAACTTTCCATACAAAAATAGGCCCTGAATAAAAAAAGAATTCTGCAGAGGAACGGGTGTGCGAATGTATCTCGGTAAGTATACCATAAGACAGGAGGCGGTTAAGACACTGCTAAGACACTGTTCCACAACCAATACTTCTCATAACAACCACCTAAGTGTTCTCTATATCATTACAATGAGGCTTAAATACATTCATACTTCACATATACAAAATAACTAGCAAAAAAAAAAAAAAAAAAAAAAAAAAAAATGTCAGAACATGTTCAGAAACATATTTAAGCACATACTGCTGCAAGATCAGTATATGAAGACTACAATCAAAATCACTTTACTAATACCTATGATCAAAACTTGTCAAACCTCACGTTGGGCCTTAGCTAATGCAAATAAAATCAAGTTTTAATATCTTACACTGAATATTTGATACCGAAATATCTGTGTATAAATGTTATTGTACAACAAAACATCTTGATACTCAGATAGTATAGGCTTAATTCACAATGACAACACAGTCTGCACCTTACAGCTAGCAGTAACAATACAAAAAAAAAAAAAAAAAAAGGACTAGTAGGTGTACCCTCTACCAGGGTTACAGATTGATCTTTCATTAGGTAGCATTCCCAAAAACCCATCATACTAGCAGGTTTGATCTAACACTGTGGGAATTCCTGCTAAATTGCATTCAGTGTAAACACCTTAAATACTTGGCACACCTAATCAAGCTGCTAGGGGGTAATTAACCATCGGGACCATGCAGATCAAGAAGAGCAGAGTGCTAGCAAGGCCGCATCCTAAATATGACGGATCTACATGAAAGGAAAACCGCTTAATACTGTTACGGTCTCTCCACCTCTCACACGACGCATGGAATCTCGACCGGCTGAATTCAGCTGAAATTTAATTACTGTGCCCCTGCGATCTGAATGGTCCCATAGTAAATCACCCCCTTGTTACTCAAGAAATCTTGCTAGAAGCCCTGCAGAGTTAAATCGATCCAGCTAGTATGATGGGTTTATGGAAATGCAGTCTTAGATATTCACTGATATGTCTCTGGTTTATTCTTGACACCAACTGTCGTGATTAATAAAAAATGTACTTAGTTAATCTGCAGCCCTGGAAGGTGGGGTTTTGGTTGGTTGACATTTTGCTCATGTCAGACGAAAAAAATAATTAAAGGTAAACCTGGGCATAAACAAAAGTTGAATAAATTAATTAACTGAATGATAATTAAACAAAATATAATTAACATAAGCAAGTCCCTTTTACAACAACAAAGTATTCAGGGAGCTAACCTGGTACAAAAAGCAGCTACAAATGTCTTAAGAACTGGGCCGTTACTTGGTTTAATCTAGTTCAGAACCTCTTCAGTACAGCCTGTATTAAAACTGACATTAGAAAGCATGCCCTACTTTCATAAACATCAAAATATTCTTAAAATGCACGAATTGTAATGGGACTCATATATTTGGCAATTGCTGACTTGACATGTTGCCATGGCAACAATGTAACTATGGATACAATGATTCATTTATTCATTACAATAATAATAATATTAATACTGATTGTTTCACTGTTTTTCACTATTTCAATTATTATCAACAAGATAACTTTCATCTGGGACCCGTCTGCAATAAGGAGAATTAACTAGGTCCTTTTGGACAAACTTTTGTCAAATCTAATTTTCCTCAAGAAAAAAATGATCATCTTGAACCATTTCTAACTGAAAAAACTTATTTTGACACCAATCACGATTCATTTTCTGCCCTCTCTGAACAAAAATATCAATATTTACTGGGACATTTTCAAAAAAGTATAGCATAGCTTTAAGTTGATGTATTTTAATTGAAAATGCACCTTTTTTTCTAACTTGATTCCTTTGGTGGATCAGGTGTTGTCACTGGTCCAAATGTTGACGACGCTGGAACACCAACCCACAATTTTTGACAAAATTGGACCAAATAAGACCCACCGACTTTAAAATCTATTTTTACATGTTACAACAAATGTACTGATTGTACTACGTACGATATGTCAGAATACCACATAAATATTGAAAGTGAAAATAAATATATATCAACTATCTAAAATCTACCACTTTTGATTTGGAAATAATATTAGAGAAAATATTGAAAATATTGTTGCCTTCCTTCACTGATGATAAGGATGAGGCTTGATACTTGAGCAAGTTGGAATTTACAGTATGGAGCACTTGGACTTCTTACGTCTTGTTTTCCGCTTATTGTAATCGACAGGCTGGTTCCTGAAAATAGGAAACAATAAACTTTGTCAGCTGAAGCAGCAGGCTACCACAGGGAAAAAACACTCCTTTTCAATTCTGAACCTTCACAATAAAGAAAATCATTTAATTATTTTACTGATTTAACAATTATACAGTGAAAAATAACGAAAGCTTGCTCAGAAACCAGTACAACAGGGCCGTAGCCTCCGGGGGGGCAGGGGGGGCAGCTGCCCCCCCCTGGAATTTGGAATTTTACACACCACACCCTCCCCCCTCGGTAGCTTCGCCCCCTCGTGTCCGCTTACTGCCCCCCCTGGCATTTTGCTCAGGCTACGGCCCTGTACAATCACCATAAGTTCCAAGCACCCAGAGACTGCAACCTCAGCCAAGAAAATTAATTCTTCCCAATAATTAACCATTAGCCATTTATTTAATTAATTAATCATGACACCTTACCTAATAACTCTCACAACCTCATGGAAAGCGGCGTCTACATTGAGAGGAGGATCTTTAGCACTAGTCTCTATATACTGAACCTGAAACAATATATCATAAATACTATAATAGCATCTACATTGAGAAGAGGGACCTAGTACTAGTCTCTATATACTGAACCTAAAACAATATATCATAAATTCTATAATAGCATCTACATTGAGAGGAGGGACCTTTGCACTAGTCTCTATATACTGAACCTAAAACAATAAATTGTAAATAACATTGCACCTATATGAAGACTAGATTTGTATATTGGGTTCTATATACACACAAATGAAAATTACAAGACCAATATTCTGCACAAATATATCCTAATTATTACAGCTTGCTTTAGATAACCAAAACCTATAAACATTATTTCCAGAAATGTAATTAATCCATGTATATCTACTTGATTATCATCAAATTTCACCAAGGCAAAATTAAAAACTAATAATGAAATCCAGTCAATGCAGTCTAGAAGTGCAGACTACTGATCTTACCACCAAATGAAGTGCCAAATCTCCACATCTCTCTCTCTCTCACACACACATATCCTAATCTTACCCCCAGCTGTATTGCCAGATCTCTCCCCTGCTCTCTCTCCCTCCCCCTCTATCTCTCTCTCCCTCACTCACACACACACACACACACACACATAAGGAGGAGAGCCCAGACTGCTAATCTTACCCCCAACTGTATTGCCAGATCTCTCCCTTGCTCCTCTGGCACTTTCCTCAGATGAACCAGATCCACTTTGTTGGCTACTAACAACATGGGGTAGGAATCCCTGGAAGACAACAAACATATACTAAGACCCCATTTCCAGAGATTAGATCGATCTACTTTAGATCGACCTCACTCCCTGGGGGTTCACGCTACATAGCTGTCAGCCCAGCGGACACGAAAGTTAATTACCCTCTTATAGCTTGTAGTAGGCGGGACGGACATTTAAGCCGGATTATCTGACAGTAATCTAGTTAGACACTCCTCGGGGATAGATCGATCTAAAAGCTCTGGGAATACAGCCTAATACATAAGATTGATCCACTATGGCCAACTAAATTTGGTACTAAGCTGAGTCACTGTGGAAGTGTTCTCTTCACACATACACTGTACACATACTTTGTTCCCTACTAACAACATAGGGTAGAAATCCCTGGAAGACAGCAAAACAATAATAATAATAATCAAGATTGATCCTCTGATTGATCAATGAATAAATGATCATATGAATCAATCAATCAATAATTGGTGCTGATATTTAAAATAGATAAGAAATGACCACATGAATGCTTATGAATAATTTGAATATTTAAGTCTTTTTAGAAAGACCTTTTTAAAAAAATTAAAATAAATTTAAATTAACCTAACATGTGCGCTCACTGCACTTCTCACCTGTCTTTAACCCTCAATATCTGTGTGTGGAAATTTCTAATATTCTCGTAGCTCTGTCGGTCGGTCACAGAGTAGACCAGTAGAAAGCCGTCTCCTTTCCTCATGTATTGCTCTCTCATCGCACTGAACTCTTCTTGACCTGCTGTGTCCAACACTGGAAGTGAAGAGATTGTGTTACATATACTATTATTGTGTTGGGTGTGACTGGTACTGTGGATGGAGATACTAGTATTGCGTTTGGTGTGACAAGCATTGTGTTAGGTGTGACAAACAGTGTGCTGAGTTGCTATCACTGTGTTAGGTGTGACATGCATTTTGTAAAGAAATTTTACCTTATTGCACTGATGTTAAACAAAAGCATGATAGCCCTGCCCTAATACAATTCCACATCTAATTCAACTCATGATAAATGATAATGTTCCCAAAGAGCATTGCACATGGGATTAAACTGCTGAGATCTATTCAGTTTTTTTTTAATCAATGTATATGACACATAATTATCCATTGACCACAGACACACAGTCAAGTATGACTTCCCATCTTTAAGGGAATATGCTGCAAGGGGAGTGGGGAAGGGGGGGGGCAGTGGGGTGGGGTGGGGTGGGGTGTCACAATGACAAGTTCCAAAAACATTCAGGGACGTGGGGGGGGGGGGGGAGAGAACACATGTGCCAGATTATGTTCTCCCATTACCATTCACTGCAGAAAGTGACAAAGTCAAGGTTATGTTCCATTCAGCTGTACAAAACGATCATTTTCTGATAGTAAAATTGCTTCTGTCTTTTATTAGATAAGCGGAGTGAGCCCAGCAAATTTTTTCACTTAATGCAAGCCCCAATTTAGCTTCCCCCCCCCCGCCCAACCCCCACCTTAATTAAATTAAACAAACACACATAAATATAAATATACCAATGCACGTTTGCACAGAAAAGACAGTTGTGGGAATGAATGGGCAAATGACTGTTTTGCAAAATTTTACTTGCCTTTCAAAAATACGTGCAGCACATCTGTCTATTAATTACATGTACATTTTCCAGTGTTGTTTCTATATCTACAGGTACATATGTACTGTACTCAGTATACGCACTCTGCAGTGTAAAATGCCCATCCCAACATGTTATTACGAGCAACTCACCGTCCAATATGCACCATTCCCCGTCTATCTCCGTGTGCTGAATGTACGAGTCTTCTATCGTCGGGTCGTAGTCCTGTACGAACATTTTCTGGAAAAACTGAATGGTTAAAGCGCTCTTGCCGACGCCCCCGTCTCCGACTACCACCAATTTGTACGTCGTGACGATCTCGTTGGGTGGTTTGGACATCGTGTGTGTTGTGTTGAGTCCTTCACGTTCGTTGTTACCTTTAATACCGAACTGAAACGCTTCGATCAGTCTTCAGAGGCCGGTTTTGCTTCAATCCGCCACCAGACAGAAAAACCTCTCGATGGCGACCTTCACCTTGGTGTCTGTAATATGAACGTCAAACAATTCTCACTTAGCTAACATACGCACGGTGCAGTAGAACTTACAACAAAAAGGATATCTTATCTATTTGCACATAAAGAAGTAATTACCGCAATCAGTGGGCTGAACCTACCTGTGTGACACTCACATGGCCTTTAGTAATGTTATTGATATGGTCCGGCTTTAAAGTACCTGCTATAAATAACTCGTGATATGATTGGCTGAAACTGCATGTGACGTAAATGTAATATAAAATAGGATTTTTAAATAGAACAATGCAAATAATAGTCGGAATATCGACATTATTGTTCTGTCTTTTTACTCTGGGGATATATATAACTGCAAACAATGTCATCTGACACTGGATTATTTTTAGATGTAATTTAAATACATGGATTAAATGAGCGCAGCAATTGCGTGGTGTCGCATCTAACACACTAAGTCTAATATATCCATAGGCTAAACACTGCTACATGTCTTCAGTGAAGAGAAGAAAGTTTGTGGTATAAAGCCATGAATAATTATGAAAATACTGAAAACAGTTACAACAACAGCAATAATAATAATAATAATAATAATAATAGTAGTAATGATGATGATGATGATAATTTACTTACCGTTAATATATAAATTGTACAGAGGTAAATTTAATTTGCACCTAGTCCATAAACATGTCATTTCGTAGTTGATGAAGGTCCAACTGGTATGTTTAAGTTATAAACACAACACAGCGACAACTACATGTGGAAAAACATTGGGAGAGCACACGACTGTGCAAGTAATGGTAGAGGTTGGGTATCTTTTTTTTTTTTTTTTTTTTTTTTGGGGGGGGGGTTCTTTAATTAACCAATTTTAATAAATAAATTAATTTTGATTAATCAGTTTATGTAATAATCAATTAATGAATCACCACCGTTTCTGTAACTAACCGACAAGGTATAACTCCTCGAACAAACAAACCAGCTAAGACAAAGCCATATTTGGAGGAGACAACAAAGAAAATACTTTTGTATTTCATGCCCTTGTTCCGTCAGAGGTTACTTCCACAGAATGTGAAGAAACAATTTCTACAAATTAAGACGCAAGTTCAACGTAAAAAGAGCTTCATGGCTAGACAGGCACATGTAACCTGTAAAAGTCACTGGCTACTTCAAGGATCTAGGGAATTCGTGTCCCCCCCCCCCCCCCTTCGTCCAGAAAAAAAAATCTCGGCCATTTCACCCAATTTCCCGTGGAAAAAAAAAGAAAAGAAAAAAAAGGAAAAAAGAAAAAAAACGAGGAAACTACTCTTATTTTTTCTGAACACGTCACTGGGCGAATTATTGGTATTATTGTCAGGTCGCTGACTCCATAAAACTTGCCAAATCATCCCTATTTATTCATCAAACTCATTCAAAGCTCTGATAAGAGTATTTTCTGAAACTAGGTGATGCCCAATGGCATGCTTTCACCGCCCCTCGCCCTTACGTGCCCCTGGCGTGATCCCGGATTCCGATGTTTTTTAGCAACTTATGAGGTTGATTACATCTGAACATGGGACATCAAAGTCACTCAGGGCCTAATGGCACTCCGTCACAAAATTTAATTTTTTCTTTCTTTTTTATCTTAAGATGAAAGTTCACCACATTCCTCTGAAGTGTATCCCGGAGTGGCCGAATTCGTGGGCTTGGTGAAAAAATATTTGAAGCGAATCGGTGACTCTACTTCTCTCTCTTTCAAACACACATTCTCTCTTTCTCTCTCAAAAACTAATTCTCTCTCTCTCTCTCTCTCTCTCTCAAATACAAATTCTCTCCCTCTCCCTCTCGAAAACCTTAATTTCTTATTTTTCATCATTGCCCCAAAGCCTTAAAGGTGGTCTCATCACCTTGTAGACAGTGACACGACGATGTGATTACATCGGATTAAATAAATACATGTGATATTCATGATATTGTTCGCGGTGAATTCTTCAACAACGCCTCTTCCTTTAAATTTCAAATTCTTGTGAGTGCAAGGCAGCGTGCTTCAGATTAATAAAGATAGCAATTCAAAAAGCGTTTTTAAGTGGTGCAAATTATGGTAAACCACCTTCTATTTTTCTCCTTTCTGGTCCTTTGTAAGTGGGGGGTTTAGGAAAACAGCGATGACTATCATGATAAAATCGCTTGAATCATCTCCCGTGTCCAGGCGCATACATTAGAGTTAACTAGCTCTTCGGGGTGCAGACGACAAAGCTGAGGCAGGGGACGACGCTGGCAGGAGACCGAGAAGAGCGCAGACGATATATTTTTTTCTTCTCTTAGAAACTCCAAAAATTCCACTGAAGTATACGCATGCAGTTTCGGTGACACTTTTATGACTTAAACGGTGACCCAGAGATGGAATACTGCAGCAGGGACGCCATGATTCTTGCAGTTTTAATTTGTTTAAGCACCGTGGCTACAGGTAAGTGGGAGTGTTATACAACCTGGTGAAGATGCCGTAGATCGTTTTGAAATATATTCAGTTTCATAACAGTTAACAGGGACTCGGATGGCGTGTTTTGCACATAAAAGAGTAGCTCCACTCGAAATAACATAAAAAGATAACAATACATGTAAATTTAAGCCACAAACCTAAAAAATACCAGGCACAAAATGTACTTTAAACAGAGAATTTCAGTCAGCTGGACAAAGAAACAAACAGAACAAAAGGTGTCCAACTTGTTTCTCTATTTCTTTTATTAATCTGACCGACAAGTACGACATTTTCGCGCTGGTTTTAAGTATGGTGTTTCCTCCACAAGGCAATGCGTCTCACGTACAATGCCATGCTGGAGTGATTTTGTCAAGTCATTTCCTCGTTCGTGTCACAATGTTGTCAACAAGGGTTAACATTTTACAATCATTTTCAACTTCACCAAACCACCCAATGAATGAGACTACATAATCGTTACTAAATATTCTACTGTTTACGAAATTCAATTTATTTATTCATCAATTTATTAAGATTTCCATTCAAACAAAATATACTTTATGAATACTTATAGTTTGGAGTTTTATGTAACACATCACAGAGCACACATTTCTGTCGTGTGTGTTTAGGCTGAAAACTATACTGGACATTTGACCATGATGCTGCATCCTTTGTCATTAAGTTTTTTTATTGGAAAAAATACCTTGCCGCTGAAATGTTAAAATCATTGTGCAAATTAATAGATAAGAACAAAAATCATATTATAACCCGCTCACTTTATTAAAATTCTATTTCAATTCTTTTATTCAACTGTTTCTTTCTAAGTTATTCCATTTATGAATTTTGCGTGATATAGATGTCAAATATAAAACAACTGTCTCGTTTAAGTCTGTAGTATTCATCTGATAAATTCAGGGGTAATACTGATGACCTTTCTCAGATCACAGCCAGAACTTGAGTCTGAAGTTTAATATTTTATGAAAAGGTTATCAAAGTCTCAACATTTAAATATATAGACTCTAACATTTACGTCGTCGAAGTCCGTTACTTTGATGACCCCTCTTCGGATTAAGACCCCCGCCAGCGTCTGGGCACTGCCCAGTAATTACACGGTCATCTAAAATGTAAACACCAGCGAAATTACACGAATTAAAACTTCTCCTGCAGAGATATGCACGCTGATATACAAATATCTTAGAATGAAATTTCTTGAAGTGCATATGATATTGCAGTAGTTTAAAACGCAGGTGAGCTTTTATGCATAAAATCAGTTAGGAAATCCAAGCTTGCACGCATTTCGCATACATTTTAGGTCGGGTAATTTTATTGATTAAAAAGTCACTTTGCAGGTTTATTTGAAGTGATATTCCAAGGACGCATACCAAAGCTGTCATCACTGAGTCAAGTGGTAGTTGATGTAGATGTCATTCATTAAACACGATATTACATTCAGCAAATACAGGCGACTGAATTTCGTTTAACGCATAAGGCAGGCAAATTGTTCTGGTCACGCTATGCCATAAATTAAAGCGTAGTAGTAGGAGAAATTTACCTGGTTGATACAACCTTTAAATAAAAACAGACCTGGGTAAACTATTGTTCTATTCCAGTACATTTAAAACACGAGGTAGTTCCTAATTGAGGCAATTAAAACATTATACTTTTTATTTTCCAATCCCTTATTTTCTTAAAAAAAAAAAAAAAAAAAAAATAATAATAATAATAATAATAATAATAATAAATAAATAAATAAATAAATAAATAAATAAAATAAAAAGAGGGGGGAGGGTTGACAGAGTCATTCTTTTTGCGTACTTTAGCATGTGCGTACAAATATACGTTAACAATCCTGCAGTTTACTACCGACGAGATGGAAAGAGCCCAGGAATAATTACAGTTGATTGCAACAGCGAGATTAAACCGGTAAATCAGTCCACGTAGCGGGAATTAAGATGTTGTGATGGGAGAGATAGTGTTGAACATGACGCTGCGGTCGGCGTGACAAGTGACGTCACTCTTAAGACGTTATCACAGGCGTTATATGACGCCGTTTGAAGAATATATTTATATATAAAGAATTAAGAAACAGGTGTTATATGACGCAGTTTGAAGAATTTACTTACATTAGGAATTATGAAACAAATCTATTATGTAAACTTGTCAGAACTTGCTTATACTGTAATATATATTTTGTTCATTTATTCATATATTATTTCCATAAGTCATTTATTCATCTATATAGATTAATCTGTTCAATTATTAACCAAGTAATTCGTTCGTTCATTTTTTTTTCAAATTTTTATCCTTTAAACCGATAAGCCGACAAGCAGAAAAATGTTGCAGTATATCTAAGTAGCATAATAACCATCCCCCCATCAAGAAATGTCCCCATCTCCTTATCAGTTCATAATGCGTTTTTGATGGTCTCAATTTTACAAAAAATCATTTGTAACACTTTATATCAGTATTAAGTTCAACCATTTTTTTTTTTTGCACTCGGTTACTCGGCAGTGGCACTCGTTGTTCAAGTATGAATACTTTCTGACAGTTTTCTGAATTACCATTGTTGATCCACCTCCATTTTTGACCGTCTTCCGACAGAAAAATCAAGTGCATATCAATGTAAATTTGAAAAATTCTGGCCGTCTTCCGGACGGCCCTTCCATATAACGCCGTTGATTTCTAGATGTACAGAGAGACAGTAAT